TTTTGTACTTAAAATATTCTAAAAGAAACATAACAATATTGTTTTATGTACTTTCACTTTTCACGTATAGTATAACTACTCTTTAATATTAAGTACTGTGTATCTCAAAAACCAGAGCTAATAAAAATTTTTCATTGTTATTTTCGTTTTTATCACCCCAAAATTGGTAGAAATTGACTAATTTAGTGTAGGAAACATTCAAAAAATATTTTTTTGTTGTGTTGTGTTGTCGTTGAGAGTTTCTTCTATCTTGGTTTGAGATTTCTGTTGATCATATCTGTTTCTACTATGACAAAAATTCGAATTTCAGGATGTGATAATAATGATAATACTCCTCAGTGACATACAGTGACATAGAATTTGTCAAGAAACAGTAGCCAATTAAGTGGGAAAATGAAACTGAAACTAAAAATAGATGATATTTCAAAAATCTGAAAAAAACACGCATGCCAAGATACCTCTCAAGGAGAAATCATTTTTCCAACTCACTTAATACTTATAGTTGCATTATGACCAAATGTAGCCTATATGTTATTCTGATGTATAAACTACATTTATGCAAAGTTTCATCTAAATCCGTCCAGTCCTTCAGGCGTGGAAGAGCCACAAAAATACATACATACATCCATCCTGACAAACTTTCACATGTATAATATCTGTATAGATTTCTGTAATTTCATTATTGATATTCACATGAATGGTAGGCACTTGTTTTCTCCTTTTATGAACATACATTGACTGAGTTTTTCTGCATTTATATGCAATGAATTCATGCAGAACCAGTCAGAGATTAGAAAGAACTCCTTTACATCCTTATTTCAGAAAATAATTATATTTTTCGGAGGAAAGTATGGACCTATCGTATGTATGGACTTGGATAATGTAATAATTGTCTTCATCATCGACTACAATAATCCAAAGAGCTCCTATCTCTCTTTCATCATGTTCACTCGGCATTCTTCCATTTCCATTTTCACGATCAGCAGGCGACAGTAAGAAAAAGCTGGTGACAAATGCTGACGATCCGTCAGTCACTTCAATATCCGTCCATTCATGATCAACGTTCTCGAAATAATCTTCTAAGACACCAGACTCTCTGGGATCGTAGAGAGACTCGAACTGACGAGCGAATGAGTTTCATTTGGAGCTCCAAAATATATATTTCAGCAGAATGTACACAAAAGAAGGTGATTGTCGTTGACGCGTTAAGATTGAGACGGTTGAAGGAAAGATGAAAAGAATGATGAATTTGAATATTCTGATGGAATTATTTTGATAATAATGGAGAGCGGAGAAATGTTAGGGAATGTTTTGTTGAAGAGGAATATTTTGTGAGTCTTTGTTTGGAAAATATGTTACTATGGATGATGGGAACGTTGAAGGTTTTTAAATTCTGCGTCTTTTGCCAAAACTTTTGGGAGGTGTTAATATTTAATTATCACTTTTCATTATGTGATGGTGGAAAATGCCGATTTTCAACCGGATAAATTTGAAAATTTGTTTAAAGGTGGTTGACAATGTTTCCTTAATTCGGACTTCCATTGTCTGATATGGATATCATTTGAAATCTCTGAAATAAGGAATTGAAAAGAATAGCTGAGAATAACAAATATATTGAGCAAAAAACCTGAAAATAAAGTACAATAAAATAAACATTAAGCAAAAAACTCGAAATTGAACAATTGAAATGAAAATGAAAAGATTTCAAGCCAAGCTACTTCACAACGTTTCAATTGTCCACAATCATCTTCGGGTGATAACTGAAATCTGAAGATGTTCATGGCAACCAAGACTTTCCTTAGCAACCAACAGAAGTGGTAATATTATTTAAGCAGGGCTATGATGCCCTTTAACAGTCACGACAACGTCATACATACCTGAGTTGAATCTGTTATATGAATAATTTCAACAGATAACCAGATTCCCCTTTCAGATTCCCCAGATTCCCCTTTCAGAAAGCCAAAAACTTTCTTTCCCAAAAATTAATCACTCCTGAAAATATAACCCCTTCAATTCAAATATTATTCCTATNAAAACCCCACAGCCCTTATCGAACATGAAAGAAAACATAGGTAAATTTGTTACTTTGAACATCCGACTATTCCAGATGTTCAGCCATATTCATCTAAAAGACTTCTGAGGGTGTTGCTTCCTTTGGAAGTTACGTATTTTTTATATTTTTGATGAAGGAGTTCGACGAAACTTTTCTCTCACCGAAGTTTTTTCTGCACTTCTATATAAAAAATCAAGAAAATCCTTTTTCTGCTTCATTAGCCCAAGATGAAGTGTCTCCGGCTTCAAGAGCGGATATAACTTAAGACATCTAGGAACGCGAACTCCCCAACTAATTCATCAACATTATTAAACTCATTATCCTAAACTTTCCCAAGAAAACTCGGGAACCGTTTGTTATGATCATAAGTCACCCCAACGCGGGTCATTTGCGAGCCAAGGAAAGAAAAAATTTGTCGCAGGCGTGTCATAAATCCCACTCCTGCCACTTCTCAGATAAACCCCGACAATAACAAATCGCAGACAACTTACCTCGTGCCCTTGGCTTTGTCAGAAGTTTCTGAACGATATTATCGTATGCGGATTCCCTAGCCACTCCCGAATCTTTGACCAACTTTTCCTTAATGGCGATGCATATATTAAACTTGGCGAGAAGATCCTCCAGTTCTTCAAAGGCCTGGAAACGAAAGGAAAATTCAAAAGCGGGAAATTTGATTTACGCAGCTGGTTTCGACATTGAGTAGTCTCGTGTGATGTCGGGGAATGGAATTGTGTATATGGAAACTAGAAAAGGATATTTCGGAATGATATACAGAGTGAAGTAGTCTGCTGAATATTCTTTCGTTACGTTTCGGAGATGATGGACAGCAATAAAAATGATGTTTCTATGCTACCTACGTTGTTTTTGGGATATTGTATACACGTTAAAATATCCTGAATCATATATACGTTTCTTAAAATGTGATGGAAATTTTGAGTAGGTTAGAAACGTCTTAACAACACGATGAAAAATAAGTACTTATGATGCACTGTTTGGAACCTTTGGTGTAGTAATGAATATTACTGGAGTTTTTCCCAACTATATTGGGAACTATATTGCCTTCCAAAAACCCACAAACCGGGAAAATCAATGCGCCACATCGTGTCAGCTATTGGAGCTCCTACCTATCAAATAGCAAAGTGGCTCACTGAAGAATTTGAAACCTTGTTTATTGCGGAACCAGGTTTTAGTATAAAAAGTCTTTAGAGTTCATACAACATACAAAAAACGTGGTTCTGCAAGAAGATGAGATTTTGGTTTCTTTTGATGTTAGTTCCTTATTTCCTAGCGTACCAATTCCACAGACCTTGCAATACCTCAGGGAATTACTAGGTTGGTGTAGGTATAGTATGTATGGTAAATTTGACTTCAGTTGTGTATGTCTCGTCTGTCATTCATTGTGTTATGTTTTTTCTATGTAAATCATTTCGTTAACAATTCTTTTTTTTAGGTTTGGTTCATAAGCTGAAATTTTGGTTTCTGCAAAATTGGAGTTGTGATTGTCTTGTATAATCTATATGTATGTTTATTTAACGCAGTACTTGATTTTTTCAGGTATCTGTTGCCAATTATTTTGTTCCCTGAAGGTTGTGATGTCATACCAATATATGCAACAAATATGTTGCATTCCATGCATTGCATGGAATGCNATGTGTCGAGATGTTGAAAATAACGATTTGGTGTTGGGAAAAAACTCCAGTAATGCGAATTTGGAGATTGATTTATATTTGTTTATCACGCAATCGTATCAATTTTGATGCATATGAACTTGGAAAATCAAAAGATGGAATTGTGAATACTGAGTGTTTTTGATTGAGAATATTGAAGTTGAGGTTGAAACAGCTTTCAATTCATGTATTTGATTGAATGTATTTGAATAATTTCATTACCACTTTCCATATTCGACATTGTACAAAAAATTAACTCCAATGCACTTTAAAATTGCGACCTTCAGAGCGAACGCGAAACCATTTACTTCATAGATATTTATAGCAGATTGCTGTCGAAATTTACAGACTTTTGAATTATTTGAAGTGTCTTCAGCATGAAATATTATTGTAAATACCAAATATACGACTTATTGACATCATTATTTGAACATTTTCATATATTCTTTCAAAAATGTTGCTTTCTATTATGAAACTAGGAGATATTGATTTTCAATATCACTTATAACTATATATACTGACAGAAACTCCTTATCTTCACTCTCTGTGATTCATCATTTCACAGTTTTGTGAAATCTCATTGGCAGCAATGCATTGGTCAGAACAAGAAATTCTGTCAAACTTAATGTTTTGTGTCAATCATGTCTGAATACCTGTTGAGTTCTATTTTCAAATTCATTGTTTCATATTATTCGTGCAATCATCTCATATTATTGCAAAATTCTGACTGACTAGTACATGTTTTTAACCAATTTTAATCATGACATATAAATATGAGGATCCTTTTTGTTATTTATGTGTTAACTCCATTTTAACCTCACTTTCGTAAGTATGAACACGTTGTTCATACCCGTTTGTTTATTCAATAATTATTGTAGAGTTCCCGATGAAGAGACAATAAACGCCTCGAACACTCAAAAAAGGGGGGCAAACCGCGAACACGTGTTTCTGGCTATTGACCTCATCAGCGCGGTGCAGCCAAGTGTAAAGATGGGAAACACTTGTTTGCCGAAATCAGGAAACAACACAAACGATAAGCTGCTCGGTCTGACCCTTGATGATGACTTGAGTTGGCAAACCCATATTGATATATTATCCAAAAAACTATCCATTCAGCTTTTTCTGTTGAGACGCCTTAAAAATTCTTTAAAATCTTCTACCCTCCTGTCTTCATGTTACGCTCTTTTTGACTCCCATTTGAATTAGGGAATTATATTATGGGAAAACTCACTTGACTCTGTTAGAATTTTCCGTCTTCAAAAACGTGCTTATATTGTATTTGAAAATGTCCGTATAGGACGAAACTGCAGTAATGTTAATTACAAATAAGAGTAGTAAGTTTCATTTCTCTTTTCTCCATCATGATTTCCTGCCACGTAGTACATCCATCAATTTAATAAATATCTGACTTCAAAAGTGTATGTCAACGTCCTCGATGGATTCAGTTCAATCTGGTATTTTCCAAAAACCAGGAAATACATTTACGAACTAACCCACATTTTTTTACCAAAATATTTTTAAAAGCCGACTCAGTCCAATGAAAATATGTTATTATTGAAGAACGGAATAACAAAGTCTTGCCACAGGGTGGATCAACCCCTGTTATATCGGAGTAAGGAACACACCCAAAAGCATGCTACTGATTTAGTTTGTTGTTATCAAAGCATACATTATTCGAGGCAATATTTCAGTCTCTGTTATTCGTTCATGAACTTGGAAGGAGATTAGGCCAAGCAACGAAAGATCA